TCATAAATTAACCCACACTGTACCACCATTTGTAATTATGTAAGTTTTATAAGATAAATTTAAAACTACAATTATTATACTCAGATATCCATTACCCAAATAATAATCTGTTATTGTCTTCCTAATCTTAAGTTAATGTTAAGTTTGCCCGCAATGCAGTGTATACAAACAGACTTTTGGCATTTACACCCAACTATTATATTCTATTGTACAACTATGTATCATGTCAAAATAAAAATTGTTATTATCCCAATTACGAAGGTTGGAAGGAAATATAACAGTTAACCATAAACTAATGATAGAAAACAAGGATATAACCCTCGTTTTCTGTTAAAATTTGGGAAGGGTAGACCAAATTAGATGTTACCGAGACGCTACCATGAACTTTTTTATATATAAAATATATATGTACATATATGTATATATTCCAGTCATAGCTGACATCAATGACATACTACTATATAGAAAGTCACTTGTTATGCAGAGTATTTCGGGCAAATTAGGTCAATTCTGTCCCAGGATGCGACCCACACCAGTCGACTAACACCCAGGTACCCATTATTATTGATGGGTGAACATGGACAACAGGTTTAAGAAAACATGCCCAATGTTTCCTGCCTTGCCGGGAATCGATCCCGGACACTCAGCGCTAAACCTGTTAGGGGCATACAACGCCTGGGATAGGGAAGGGGGGTATACTTGGAGAGGGTTTCGGGGGTCAACGCCCCCGCGGCTCGGTCTGAGACCAGGTCTCGTGATGGATCAGTAACTGACAAAGTGGTACCTAAGCCCTTTACATTAGTGTTATCTTCGCAAGCACTGTTCTTATCTTGGAAATCAGTGAGAATTTTCATTGCTTTTGTACTCCAATTTATCACAATTACTCCAATTTTCTTTAAGTTGTTCACTAGTACTCCCTTTCCCTGATCAACAGCTTCATTTTGACCAACAAAATCCTCAATTGACGACAGCCAATGAAGGCGAGTCTCAAAGGCATTGTCGGGATAGGATTCAAATGTAGTTTCATTGTTTATTATGTTTGTAGATAAATTAGACATGTGCAACTCTTGGGTATCTTTATTGAGGAAACGTTTCGCCACACAGTGGCTTCATCAGTCCATACATAGGAGAAACTTGAACAGGAGGAGAATGAGGTAATCAGTCCCTCAACCTTGAGTCGATGTGTTCAGTCCATCAATCTTGAGTAGAATACGGCAGATGAGCGGAGAAGCAGCTTATCAACCGTATGGCAGGAGAGGTGCAGCAGTCATAGGTGGTGTCACATTTGTTCAGTGTGGAAGTAGGTCGTGCCCAAGAATTAGGCAAGCGAAGAATTCCTAAGTATTAAGATCCCAAGAAGTTGCAGTGTCTACAAATTATGTTTGTATTCTCATACAGCTCCAAATCCTCACAAATATTTTGATGCAGTTCAACATTGATTTTGACTTGTGGATCTTTTGTTGTCATACCCTGAAAAATGTTGCAAACCACGCATAATCCCTAATATTGCTGCACTTGTGATCAATTATAATCAAGGGGGAAGCTCTAAACCCGGAGGATTATACAGCGCCTGGGGGGGGGGGATGTGGAAGGCATTCAGACTTAATTCGGGGAACTGGAGCAGATCCAATTCCCTAAATCAAGAGCCCCTCACTAACATCAAGGAACCTTCCTTGAGGGGACTTGTGATCAAGTTTGATCCAAGGAAGATAGCTGAAATTCTTTTGATCAAGAAACCATTATCCGGGGACTTCTTGAGAACTGACGGGTGGACTTTATTGGGTTAAGTTGGGTGGCTAATCTTTTAGGTAAAAAAATCTGAACAAAAGACGAGGATTGAAAATGAAGAATGAAAATGAGGAATGACGAAAATTAAGGTAAAAAGACTTATGAGAAAAGTGAGAGGGAGAGCGAAAGGTGAATTATAATCACAACCAAGCTCTAAACCAGTAAGTGCCATACAGCATTGCAGGGTAGGGTGTTAAAAGGGGTAATATGCATGATCAGCGATCAACGAGGATGTAGAGTATAACAGGTCGAGTTAGGAAGGGCGATGAGGAGTGATAAAGAAGGTGCATGTAATCAAAGTTGGTGTAAAAGCTGATACTGAAATAAATGCAGAGTGAGTGTCAACGGTGGGACCGTCAGCGAGGAGGGAAGATAAAGTAAGCGTGTTAGAGCGTGTTAGAGCGGTGAAGACGTCAGTTTGAAGGTGAAAATGATTGAAGAAAAATGATGACTGCGGCTGCTAGGTCGTGTAAGGCTACTTACCCAGCTGTGTACCAGGGCTGCAATCACCCTTCTAAAAATCCATTTCTTCGAAGATTTGTAGGTTATGTTTATGAGAGCGCTAAACCCACACTGGTCATATCCGAAGGAACAGGAGGTAATTAAGTTCGACCTAATAATGCCAGCTCCAGTTCTTTAAATCGAAGTCCTCACTGGCATCAGGAACCTCCCTCGAGGGCAAACGCTAGGTTGTCATTGTATTAACTCTTATTAAGCAAACTTTTTTTAATTACCTCTTAGGTGCCTAATCACTGCTAGGCGAACAAGTGCAGCAATATTAGGGATTGTGCGCGATTTGCAACATTTTTCATTGGTCGAGACTGCTACGAGCAGGAGTAATATGACGTATTGTACAGGTGCTGGACACAGGTGTTGCTTGTCCTAGCATTTAGGTACTGTATGTCTAGAACTGGCTGGCAGTCACTTTACTAGGTGTCAAGGATATCTCACAGTAGTTACGGTTGATTTATGAAGTGGAAAGCGCCAATCACCGGAATTATCCAGAGCCTAGGAAATAAGAGGCATTTATTTATAAAAAAAAAAAAAAAAAAGCACAATACCGTGACTGGAACTATACACAAATAACCCGCACATAGAAGAGAGGGGCTTACGACGACTTTGTAAATGGTCCAAGTCGAACCGAAACGTCGTCGTAAGTTCCTCTCTTCTATGTGCGGGTTAATTGGGCAAGAGGCACTTAGATTCAATCCAGGTTTAGGATAATTCCTGTTCCATGGGGCCCCAAGACTGTTCAACTGCCTCCCAGCATACACAAGGGGTATTGCCAACAGACCCCTGGCTATCTTCAAGAAGACGATGGACAGGCACCTAAAGCCAGTACCTGACCAACCGGGCTGTAGTTCGTACGTCGGGTTGCGTGCAGCCAACAGCAACAGCCTGGTTGATCATGCCCTGATCCACCATGAGGCCTGGTCACAGACAGGGCCACGAGAGCGTTCACCCCCGGAAACTCTCCAGGTATATCTTAATTTTATAGCAAAAAGGGAAGTGGCAAACTCGTAGGGATGATTAACTGAAGAGAGGCTGTCACGTTAGAGCCAAAGAGTCCATTAATTAAAAGCTCCACTTTCATGAACCCTCCACTGCAGGGGAGGGGGGTCTTTCATTAAAATAATTATAACCAAAATGAAGTGCTAAACCTACAAGGGTCATACAGCACCACCGGGCAGGGAAGGATACAGGGTATTGGGTAGAAAGAGGGCTGATTATTAGATCATGGAGTGCAGTGGGGCAGTGGATAGTGCAGGGATAGAGGTAGAAAGGGCTGCGAGGAGTACTAGAGGCATCAGAGTTTGTGCAGTAAATCAGTTGCTGTCAAAAAAGTAAGTGTCTCTTGGTTAAAAGAGGGACCATTAGCAAGAAGGGAAGGTAAAGCAAGGACAGTAGAGCGATGACGACGTTGGTAAATTGTGTGCTCGTTGATAAAGTGGGCAGTACAACAATGTGGCTAACAAACTGGAATCTGACAATTCTCAGTGGAAAAGGGTGCCTCTCCACGAGATACCCGTGAGTAAGAAGAGTGTGGCCGATGCGAAGACGCGAGAGTAGTTTCCCAACTTCGACATTAATAAGAGGACTGCCAGAAACCTATACTGTTTAATAGTATGTAGTTTGTTATGGAGCAGATCAGACCAAAGTTGTTGCCAACAGGTGCACAGCAATTACAGGAAAATAGTCTGAATGGCATTAAAAGCATTAGCCGAGCAAAAAAAAATCCTCCCCCCCCCCGCGATTCAGTAAGCTTGTGGCAGATAACCAGGCCTAGGATTTTTTTTTAGTCATTGTAGTTTATACAATTAGATAAATTGCAAGAGGCATCCGTTGCAGGACATCCTCCCTGACACTAACGTGATAAAATCTCTCAACCTACCTTCTCAGTGACATTCTTTACTAGGTAATGGAATTTTTACCTTTAACACTGTATACTTAAAATTCACTTACGGACATTATCCAGCAGCGGGTATCAAAACTATCAAAGAATGGGTAAAACAAGGGGAAGCGGTAAACCTACAGGAGCGATACAGCGCGTGAGGGAATGGAAGGTAATAAAGTTAATAAAAATCTCTTCCTATGCGTTGCATTAAGGGCCTCTAGTCGAAGAAATGTCATGAAGGATTTAATTAAGGATTCAGTCAAGGAGCACCTTTTAAGAGTATCTACTCGCTTCTTTTCACCAAGTTCTCCTGTCGAACAGTTTCCTAGTGCGCAGCAGCTTCCGTCGAGTCGGGATGGAATTAATTTAACAGTACGCGTGCGCACGACAAATGGCACCAGTTTCCTCTTCCATACTCTGGAGAGTTGCACCTCTCCGAAAAACTCTTAGGTATATCACTGAAGCTGTATATTCTAGTGGTTCATACACCGCCTGGACACTGTCCAGGCGTAGCTGCTCCACTAAGGAGACTCGCGTTAAAGGGAGGGTTAGTACATGGCTTTAATTAGAGCTGTTCATTGGCTAGTAGTAATTGCTTTAAGGGCTATGTAAATGAATTTGCGGACAGACTCATTAGAATATTGACCAACTAAAAAACACAGGTTAGTCAAGACTGCAAGAGTGGTAGATTCTTTTACTATTTTATCGCTTTTAAAGGCAGACGTAATTTTTAATAAGGCAGTAGTTTGTAGCTTTAACCGCACAATGACCAAAAACTTTGGTCTTTCAGGCTTAGGTACAAGAGAATTCAGAAGACTGAAATTTTAAATTTGTATTAAATCAACAGACAAGGGTTTTGGATAATCAGTCACTTATTCAGACTTAACATCGTTCGGTGCTGCAAAGTGGCAGAAGCACAGACGTCCCGTGTCTGTGTCGATGATGTGAGGCGCCATAAAACAGCTGTAACAGCAGACTTCTTCACCAGTCTGGAAGGTTACGTATTCTGCACAGTCTCTGCACATCACTCCAGTGACGCACTTCACAGCCTGCAAGAGAAGAACTTTAATTTGACCAGTTAGGTCAGCATGTAAAATACTGAAGCACCAACCTACAACTAACACCTGAAGAATGGGAAACCTCATTACGTAATAAGAGGGAGGATTCCCCAGTTGGGAAGAAAAGTTATACAGCAAAAGAAATGGAGGCAGACAAATAGGAAGAGCACAAATTCCAGCTTTCCTCGAAACTTAACACCCAAGTATAGGTTTGATTCAAATAAGTTAAAATTCCTTGGAAGCTCAAACAAAATCCTCTCCTTTAAGAGGAAAGCCTAGTTGTTCATCTTACTACAGGCGTTACTTACCCTAGAATATTTCAACTTTCCCTCCAGCTTGGTCAAGAGATCTTCGTGAATGTGGGTGAAATTTTCAGGAAGTTCAAGAGCTACTTCCACTTCCTTCCAGGAGGAAGCGTTCAGAATAGAAACTCCAACGTGTTCCAAGGCATCTGAATCAAAGATAAAGTAATTAAGAGGAAACAGTAAAGCAGTTTTTTTTTTTTTTTTTTTTTTTTTTTTTTTTTTAAGATTTCATTTACTATGTTAACTGTTTAAAAATATATTAAGCCACAACTTTAGACTAGCAAATATTCTTTAGTTAAACCAAGAATTTGTAATTAAGCCCGCAAGGGTTTAACAGGACGTATGGTATAAAATGGTTAATTCAAGGAAGGAAACTGCCGACTACCGGAAGACTTTTAAACAAGTCTTCGATCCAGCAAACAGCTAAGGAAAAAAAAAGTTAAAACCATCCCGTTTAAAATAAAACTAATAAAAATTACTCACTAGCATAGAAAATATACCATGAGGTGACTGGATAGTGCCCCCCCTCCCCCCCCCCCAACAAGGGAGATCTGCTCGAAGACCCGGGAGACTTACCTAACTCCTCAGCTTGTGTCTGGGTAGAGTTGGATTCTTCAGAAAGATCCACGTACACACTGGGAATATAGTCGTCCTTGGGGTTGACAATTCTCGGTGAAGATCCCTGTGCATGTATAGTGGTAGAAACTGTGCGTAGGTGGTGCGTACAAGTTTTAAAAATGGTCCATTACTTGTACGACCCAGAAAATATATGATTTAAAAAATGTGTTAAGTGCGAATTAGTTAGTTTAATGTTTATTATGCACCCCATACCCATCCTGTGGGCGGTAGTCAAAAGATTACAGAGGTACATAATGGGGTCCAGGGACCCGAATTAGCAGCAAAGATTCTTGCTAAAATATACGAGAGACCCTTAAATATTCATTTTAAACATACTAATTGATGTCCTGATAACTTGCCTATTTACCTATTATGGGGGAACGCTAAATCCGTAAGGATAATAGAGTTTGTGGGGGGGGGAAGAATGAAAGGCATTCTGGCTAAGAATTTGAGCACAGATCTAGTCCTAGATCAAGAGCCCTTCAGCAGAGTCAAGGAACCTCCCTTGAGGGGTTAAGAAGATTGATGGGAAGGGATAATATATGAACCCAATAAACCAAATTAGACATTCCCTTTGATTAAAAATTAGGGAACTTTCTTAAAGGCCAAAGACAATGAATTGTCACTTACCTGGTAACGAGGAACCAAAGGCTTATCTCTCTCTTCCCGATGGTTGCAAAGAGCACCTGTTAACAGGTAAAGTTATTTGCATCTTTCTTTTGCAAATATTGAAACTATTTCATCGAGGAAAGTTCATATTTAAAAAACAAACCTTCATCAGGAACGCACTCTTCAGAATGCGTTGAAGTGTCATTCAACCCGTCTTCTCCGTGGACGCCGTCAGAGGTAGTAGCGGAGTCTTCAGAAAGTTCGCTGCTGTAGCCGAAAAATGAAGAAAGTGTATCCCAGAACCCGCCCTGGGTTCTGTATTCTGGGAAAGTTCCATAGGAACTAGCACCTCTTTTACCCCTGGATTTCTTCCAGGGTAAGTTTTTGATGATAAAAGCCAGGTCTTCAGGAAGTCCGAAGTCTCCCTCTCCTTTATGCGCCGCTATAAGTTTTAGTGTAGTGAAGTCAAGAGTGAAGTTAGACACTTCAACCGGTTTTGAGCTAATCTTGTGATAAATATCAACTAATATCTTCAAACGTGACTGAACCTGATAATAGGCTTCAAGAGACTTTGCTTGAGTTAAGAAAGTCAGCAATTCCAAGACTTTCTCCATTTCGTATTTACCTAAAGCTTTACCAAGATCCCAGTGGCTAAACTGGGCCACTTCAGACTCGACAGATGCATTCACCGATATTTCAATTTCGTCAGGTGGGTAAACTACTCCAGTTATAGCATTAAACTCTGGGAATTTCACAGTGATTGGAAGATCATTATATGGTTTAAAATTAATTTTTATTTTATAATAATCAAGTGCGCCTTTTAATAGGCTTGCAGAACCAGTGAAAATGTTGGGATTTGGCCAAGTAATGCCAGCCTGGAAATAGTCTCCTAGTGCAAGTTTATTATTATAAATCTTTGAACATACTCCAAATACTTTGTCCATAGCATTAACTAGATCGGATTTTGAGCCTATTGGTTTTCCGCTGGAATATCTCTTCTTAACGACCTTTAAGAGACCACTCATTTCGTAAAAAACTTTATCCATTGCCCAATCAACTAATCCTACCATGTTGTAGTCTGTAGTAGAAACAACAGACACCAACTTACGTAGTCGAGTCCTGTTTAAAAGGACGTCCGTAAACCTCGTGTAGGACTCTACAATTTTTTTAATATTTATATGGGTTGTGTTTACAAGTTCATTTATTTCCTTAGCTTCTCTTATTAAGGTGAAGAGTTTTCCTTCAGAAGGATCACCAACCTCTTCATATCTAGGAGATTTTGGTATGAATGGAGACGTGTTTGTTAAAATAACTTCTCTGCCATTGATTATGTTCAAGTAATGGGTGCTAAAGTTCCTCAATACCCCATATTCTTTCCTTATCCACTCTGGGGCCTCTTCGCTGCCGAAATCTATATTAGAAGTCAGTTTAGTTACGCCCAAGTATACTAAATTTCTCCACAAATAAGCAATAAATAAGGTAGCAATCATAAAGCCGTTGTCTTCACTAGTCAGTAACATTTGACGAGATTTTCCTGCTTCAGGTTGTTTGTGGTTTTCGTGAAGAGCAGCGAAGGAGCAGCACCACAGACCGATCACCAGCATCACCACGCACCTCTCCATCTTCACTAGGCTAAGAAAAAATGTGTAGATCAGTTAGGATTAAGCAGAATACAGTATTATAAATCGGCATGAAAGTTAAGAAATTTTTAGACAAAGGGGAAGGGAAAGGGGGGGGGGGAGGACCAAAATAAAACTTTCAGCTTCACGTGGCCTTGAAACGAACTTTTGCAAGTAGGTTGTGGGAGATAAATTTTCACGTCTTTTCCCATTCCTTACTTATCCAGCCTCTTCAGAATTTTTAGCACTTTAATGAAGTCCTACATAGGTTGCAGAAGCATCACCTTCATTCATGATGTGGATTACATTACCCACAAATTTAGATTAAAGTTATAACCTTTTGGTTGTACCAACTATCACTCAAAGTAAGAACGTATTTTCTGTCCCAAAACCTATAGTTAACTTAGTCTAGGAATTCCAGGGTGATGTTAATTGTTGGTAGCAGATTTTTTGCGCTAACGTTCAGTCTGTAGTTTGAGGAAAAAAGAAAAAGCAGCATGATAATTATTCTTACAGAATAGGGAAGTGGGAACTGAAGCTTTTAAGTCCCCCCCCCCCCCTTCCTAGTCATGGGTCATCGGGCAGGATGGGAATCATGCATGGTGTTGAAGTCTCTTAGCCTCGAGCTGGCAGACTTCAGTGGAAAGGGTGGGGAGGCAGTGATTTTTTTTTTGAGGGGGGGGGGGAACTGGAGGTGCGGGCGGTGTCTTGAAAATGCTCTGATCTCAAACCAGACCTAGGTTGGAAAAAAAAAAAAATACAGGATTAATTTAGTAAATCCTAATTAAGTTTTTTTTTTTTTTTTTTTTTTATTTATTTAAAACCAACACAGTTTAACAAAAATAAACAGGATGGATCTCAATCAAATTAACTGACAAAACGGCTTGCACCTATATGCTCTCAAGATATTGCTGCCAAACATACAACTAGAACTTACGGCAAGAACATTAGCAAAAAAAAAAAAAAAAAAAAAAATTATATATTATATATATATATATATATATATATATATATATATATATATATATATATATATATATATATATATATATATATATATATATATATATATATATATATATATATATATATATATATATATATATATATATATATATATATATATATATATATATATATATATATATATATATATATATATATATATATACACCATGATATAATCTAAAGCTCTTATGCCACCCTCGTCTAACCCACCCATTATTTTTTATTATTATCACACCGGCCGATTCCCACCAAGGCAGGGTGGCCCGAAAAAGAACAACTTTCACCATCATTCACTCCATCACTGTCTTGCCAGAAGGGTGCTTTACACTACAGTTTTTAAACTGCAACATTAACCCACCCATATCTAGACTTAAAGCACGCAAAACCGACACCCCACCCCCTGTACCAACCTACTTAACCAGCACCTAACCTCCTCTAGCCCTTCACAAAAGTACACTACATGGAACGCTGTCTCATCCCCTCCAGATACCACACCCCCCACCCTCTACAATCTGTGTTTCGTGGTATCTCACCAGACTGAAGGAACCCATGCAGAAAACGAAACATTACCTCACATGCCCGAGGGTTTAACTTCATTTTACTAAATCTAAACCAAATACTCTTCCACGCATACATGGGGAACAAACCCTCAACTGGGACAACGCACCTACCTACAAGTAACCTACACAAAACCCTTATACGAACCTTTCTCAGTTCCCTAACCAACATCACAGCCCTCAAAACGATTTCGCATTCCCTCAACTCCATTCCTCGATACCACATACCCAGCCTGTCGTGTATCCTTCCCAACTGCCCCGCGTTCACACCCTCACGCAACACTTCCCCATTTAATACACACATTTAGCCCTCCGTCTCAAATCCATCAACCCCAACCCACCCTGACTTACAGGTAACATTACAACTTCCCTCCGTAACCAATCACAACGTGAACCCCACAAAAATTTGTACACCCGTTTTAGAATCCCCGCAATCACTGTCCCTGTAATTGGGAACACAGCTGCAACATGCCAAATCTTACTATACAATAAAATGTTTACGACTGACTCTATAAGAGTTAGGTGCTGGGGTCTCAGAACACCTAGACGCCCCACGATCCTTTCCAATAATCTATCAGTTTTCCTCCCACGCAGCAACCATGTCATCCTTATAAATAATACCACAAATCTTTAAAGACACCGCCCATTCTTTAGCAACATTACATCTCCCCCCTACACCCCCCCACACCCAAGAACCCAACCCCATGTACCTTGACTTCGCACTATTTACCTGCATACCCGTGGCACTTCCAAATAATTGCACAACCTCGTCCAACACTCCCATTGACATACCTTCACGAATGAGAGCAGTGGTGTCGTCAACATATCCAATTAAACCCGGCCAGGCCCTACCACCCCCCCCCCACACTTCCCTCACATGGCGTACATAAGCTACGGTCAACCATTCTATAAAAGGGGTCCTTGAAACACGCAAACAATATTTGGGACATGGGGCATCCTGTCTAAGGCCTCTACCCATTGCAATATCCCTCCCCATACACCCATTAATCTGCATCCTCATTTTCGCCCCCTTGTATAACTTATTTACCCACTACTATTTCCTCCCCAAAACCCTGTCTCCTAAGTATAACCTGCAAAGCTCCCCTTTCCACTATCATATGCTCCCTGCCAATCTAGAGCCAACAAAGCCGCCCCTCCACCCCCACCCTTAGCTTCCACAAAAGCTTCTCAGTATCCCATGTCCTTCAATCATCGACCTTCCCGGCAACCCAAACAGATTTTGACACGACCCTTCCCACAACACATTTGAACCTATTACCTAAAATTTTTGCGAACACCTTATAGTCTGCACACATCAGTGATATGGCTCGGTACTCCCGAAGGGTGGGCTGCCCCTTAACCTTCGGGACCAACACTACAACTGCTGTTACCCGCTTCTCCCCCAACTTACCCTTCTTCATACGATTAAATAACCTAACTATAAATCCCCTTATTAACGTCCAATGTAAATAAAATTCTACTGGGAGACAGTCAATACCCTGCGCTTTCCCCTTCCTCATTCCCCTTAACGCATTCTCTATTTCCTCTGCCGTAATTGTCCCACCTAAAGCCTTTCTATCACTATTTCCTAAATTACACGTCACATACGTACACACCTTGTCCAACGCCACGTCACCCCCCCCCCCCCCCACTGTTCCAGTACTTCTCGTACCAAGCCTCCGCATACGCACACATCCCCTTCGTGGTTCGTATCTCCTGCCCTGGTCTATAATTCCCAACCATCTCCGTTACCTCTAAACATGGGATAGCTGTCACCGCCTGCCTTTGCTTTTGATGCCGCAAAACACACGCTGACGGCTTGTCGCCCCAAAGCACTTCCTCCACCCCTGCCTGCAACCTTACAGCTTGAAACCTTTCATTTTACAACACCCTCAACCTCCCCTTTATTTCAGCTATTTCATCCATAGGAAAATTATTCCCACCTACCCCCCGCCCATAGCAACCTCTTAACCTATCCTCTAAATAGTTAGCCAGTCCATATTTTCAATTATTAATACGTTTTCCTTCTCTCACATAAAACTTTCTAATCCTTTCCTTTGCAACACTATCCCACCATATGTCAATGTCATCCACTCCCTGTTCTTCCACACTAAGCTCCCTCCATAGGACTGAAAACCCCTCCAACCCCTCATCACCTAACGCACTTATATTTAATTTCCAATAACTTCTATATATGTCCGCGAGTGTCCCCCCACCCAACCTCCACTGCCCTATGATCTGACATTGTAGCCTTAACAGTACTGAAAGATTTAACATCCACTCCCTGAGAAAGGTACACTATCTAGTCTCGCAGCATATCCACTCCTAACAAACGTATATTCAGTCTCCCACACCGCCCCCCCCCCCCCCCCCGAAGGCATCACGTAACCTAACATCCCTTAATAAATCCCTAAGAGCCACAGACATATATCCAGCCCCTTTTGGGTCCACATCAGGCACCCTGATTACACTATTCCAGTCCCCACCAACTATTGCCACCTCTGGCAGTGCACTTAAGAAAAACAAGATCCTCACACACAAAATCATTCTTTACCTTTATTTTCTGTCGGCGCATACACTCACAAAAGAGAGACTTACCCATCCACCACCCATCCACCACCCAACCACACGCAACACCCTCCCTCCCCCTCCTCCCTCGCTTCTCTGCAAAACAAACTGGCTCGTCTCCCTTATTAAAATTCCCACACCACCTTTTAGACGGGGAGATGGCAGGGGAGATGGCAGGGTAACTACTCGAAATCCTGCCACCTCCAACACCCTACCCTCTTTAAAATTGTGCTCCTGCAGGAACACAACATCCACTCTAGATTTGTTCAGGAAATTACGAAACCAATCTCTCTTCATACCGCTACATAACCCATTAACATTTACAGACATACACCTAAGGCCTATTAAAGTTTTCACTCCTGCTTCCTCTCATCACTCTTTACAACTCCAGAGCTTGAATTTAAGTTTGACACCTTCAGAGTGCTCTCTTTCCCTCCCCTTCTTCCGGTGCCTCCTATCATGGCTACCTCCTATCATGGCTACCACCTCAGTGTTTCCCAGGCCTTTATGCAGGCGTAAGGACGTAATCAGAATCTGACGTAGCCGCCCTCTTTCTCGTGACCGTCGTGTTACACATCTTGGTCAGATGTTGCCTCTCGATGAACCTCCACCTCTACCTGAGAATGGTTTAATGATTCAACGGACGACTCCAAACCACCATCACGTCCCAAATTATCATGTCTCCGACTTTCTGGAAGCGACGGCTCTGCGACGGCTCTCCGATGACACCACGCTCAGATGTAACGTCCCTCTCTGGTGGTGACAGTCTTAACACCTCCACCAATTCCTCCTCAATCTCGAGAACCTTCTCCTGTAATTGCTGCTCCTCCTCATCCACAGGAGACGATACCTGATCAGGCAGCTGGGGGAGGGACTCCAACTCACCGCCAGTCCTGTGTGCCCGATCCACTATCTCGCTCCACAAAACACCACGCCCTCCATCCGATGTTTGCTTTTCACCTGCCACCTTTGAAGCAGGGGCTGCGACATCCACCACAGGTCCAGGCACACGTCTTCGCTTGTCACAGGTCGCCGCTATGTGATCATATTCACCACATAGGCGGCATGTACGTCGTTGTCCTAGGTACATTACCATTACCTGCGTCCTGAAATCTTGTAGATACACATAGTACGGTATTGGGTGCCTCAAAGTAATTTTGAGGTTGAAAGAACCCTCTGGAAAACCAGCATAGGCACCTGCCGCCCACGTACCATGTTGAGCATAATGCACCGTCCCATTTGTCTCAAAAACTTTCCTTATATTCGCCTCGTCCGCCTCAAAGGGAACGATGCGTAACTTGATCCACGTACAATGCCGTGAAACGTCTATCAATCTTACACCGACAGCTGGTGTGACGCTAAGACTTACGTCCTGAAACCTGGTGACTAACGATTCATAAGCCGTAGCTGATAGTTTGACGAATATTCTTTGGCTTCCGTTTAATGCTACACCATACAAGTCACTATCTTGTATGCCATATGTCTCCTGGATGATCTTTGGCAATAAGACTTGCGCAGAACTAGGCGTTATCGTTCCTTTAAGTAGCTCAATGCCTACAGTATTTATCCGGCGTCTCAGACTAACCGCCATCTTGACAATCACAGTGCACCTATGTTGTTAACAGAGGCGTGACAGCACCACTTCACACCGCTGCAGCCAGGTAACTGACTAGGAAACTCGCCTACAAACAGCAGAGGGGTGCAGAGCACAACCGCACTCTACCGTGGTCAGGCAGCGAATGATATAAAAGAGGTTACGTGTATGATGGAAGTCGAGGTTAAGCAAGATTTAACTATCTCGTGCGTTCAGGATTAGTAATCTTGTGGGAATATTAAGATTCCCAACAGGTTACCATTTCAGCCGACAGCAGTACTTCCCCTGGATGGCTGATGTGAACCAGTCTAATTGGAGTCATTACGATACACTTTACAGTAAACTATAATTTACTATTTCACTGAATCTTATTAAAAAATTAGATGTCTGAAGACTAATTACATTACTGTGACCGACAAGGTTTACAACTTTTATGAAAAATAAAATTTGAAGAATTAAAGTGATGGAAAGGAAAGGGAAAGCATACTTAAGGTGGGGAAGGTATAACCACAAGAGGTAAATTATATTTTCAATGAAAGTTAAACTCGAGGCCTAGTAGGCAGAAGCTAATAAATTTTCATTCATGCAGAGAAGCTGGGGAAAGAGAAAACCACACTTTACTGCTCTTACATGACAGAGGAAGCTTCTATACCACAAGACGGGCAGAAAGCAGCAACTTCACTCTGGCTGTACCCTTCTCCAGAACATCACTACATCAGAGATCATTTATCCCCAGGATGAATGGTCTTGAACACATTCGTACAGCATTTTGATGTCTACGAGATAGTCAGCTGATCAAATGAAAATGTTAGCATAGATGGCTCCAGCTTCATCCTGTTCCCTACTTTTAAGCATCATAACGTAAAAAAAAATGCTTTCAAATGAGCTGATGTAGGTAACAGCTCTTAGTTTGTCTAAGTTAGGAATCCTTAACCTAACCTTGTCAAACCCTATGTAGGAAAAAAAAAATTGTTGATACTTTGTGTATACAAGGCATAGAGAAGAGTAGCATAATGAAGGTTCAGTCAGCAAGCAACAGTGCGCCTAAAGATTATCACCGTCAATGCTTTACCTCATCAAATCTGCGAATTAGATTGAAAATCACTTTGATATAAGAATAATGTTATTCAAAGGTACATGCCACCTATGCTGGTACCCATCCGTTTATGCCAGTTTTATTAATATGCGCCTGATTCCTCGCCCAGCTGCCGGTGAGGGTGGACGTTTGCTACTCCTCTCTGACAGGCGCAAGTACTAGCCAGGCTGTCACAATGGTGGTTGGGGTGCGACGCAGAATTAACACTGTCGGCATAGAATTACCGAGAGGTACAATTAATAAAGATTCGGCGTTGACGTTGTTGCCTCTGATTATTCGAGAGACATATGGGATTGAGGATTGCGACCTTTATGGTGTAGCCTTAAATGGAAACTACCGAATGTTCGTGAAACTGCTGTCATCACACGTGTATGAGGATCTACTTGCTCATTATCAGGATGTTGCTATCGAGGTTAACGAGGGCATCCTGGTAAAGATGGTCGATGTTTCGAGTCAATTATGTAAACTTACGTAATGTGCCTTTCGAGGCAAATGAAGCTGACCTACGGGTGTTCGGGAAGTTTGGAACTGTACACGTAGCTCAAGGCAAGTGGACGGCAGGGGCTTATGTGGGTTATCCAGAAGGTAGTTTTAGCCTAAAGATGACTGAGGCAACCTATGCCTTCGTATGTGTTCTTAGAGGAATTTAGGACAAATACTTGTAACTTACGCTGGCCAACGTAGAACTTGTAGACTGTGTGATGGTTATGATCACATAGCAGCTGAATGTGTGTGGCGGATAACTGGCCAGGGAATACCAAGGAGTGACATTTCGAGGCGAGGACCTACAGTGACAGATCAGAACCGCCAGGATGGACGTAGGCGTGGTCGGTTGTGGAGTGAGGAAGTGGAGGAAATGCAACGTGAGGTGGAGCATGAGGGTGCAGTGCAGCAATTGAGTGCGTCTGCAGAGGATGTGATGCACGAGGCGGACAAGGACGTACCGAATGACGTAGAAATTGACGTAGTGCTTGAGACAGTTTTGCAGGAGATGTTCCGTAAATCGGAGGAAGCCTTGACAGAGGTAACGACGGGAGACCAGGTACAGGGACGAGGGGAAGCATGCGGGTCTGAAGAAAGGAATGTAATGTCGGCTTGGCCAAGTAGTGAGAAGGGGAATGAGGTGATAGAGGTGGAGGTGCACAATGAGGAAGGTCAGGAGACAAGCATGGCGGAAGAGGAAGTGTCGAGGAAGCGGGCAGCTGTCACGTCTGACTTGGATGACGTCCTCACTCCAGCACAAAGACCAGGGAAAAAGGCGGGGATTGAAGGTGTGTGTAGAGGCACAGAAAAAGAAACGCCAGCAAGGAGTTAGGAGTGGAGGGGGTGGGGTGAGTGCCAAGGACGGTGTGTATGAGGCTACTGGATAGTGGAAAAAATGTGGTGAAAACGTAAGCAGGCGTAAGGTGTATGACAATTAATGTTAATGGTTTATGCAAGAGTGGTAAGTGTGTATGGTTGCGAGGACTGCTGTATCGTTACAAGGTAGATGTTGCCTTTATACAAGAGCACAACTTGAAAGCAGGAAAATTGCTGGAGGTGGATGGATATAGGGCTTTTGCAACTCCAACGACACGGTTAAAAGGCGGAGTAGGTGTTTTAATTCGTGAGGCAAGCCAGTTTGTTTTGCAAAGGTTTGAGGGGGGGGGGGAAGAATAATGAGAGTGGACTGGTGGTGGATGCGTGAACGCGTGTCCTTTGTTGGAGTGTATGCTCCGGCGGAGAACGATGCGAGGGTAAAATCGGCATAGTAAGGGATGATCTGGTGTATTTCTCGAGAGCGCTGCCCAGGGTTGCATTGACTGGGGGAGATTGGAATTGTATAATACGGAGATTTGATGTGACGCCAGCGGGGGCGGGATATTTTTCAAACGTGTTGCGAGACCTGTGTAGAGATATTGGGGTACGAGATGCATTTTGGGGTGGAATAGGTGAAGTGCAACATACGTATGTAAGGAGGGAATACGCAGCTAGACTGGATAGGATCTATATAACGCAAGGGGTTTCAGTAGAGTCTTTTAACACTATAGAAGCAATTTATTCAGATCACAGGGCAGTGGTGGTGGGGGTGGCATGGGATTAGTTAGTGAAACGGGTTGAAAGCTACTGGAAATTAAACACGCGACTCCTTGAGGATGAGGAAGTGGAGGTGGGGTTTGCTTCGCTGTGGAGGAAGCTAAGTGAGGAGGCAATAAGGGTTGATAATGTTGTACATTGGTGGGACAGTGTGGCCAAGGAGAGGATTCGTAGGTTTTACGTGGGTGAGGGGAAGCGTGTAAATCGACTGAAGTATGGATTAACAAATTATTTGGAAAGTAGAATAGGATACTATCACGAGCAAGGAGTGGTGGGAGGGGTATTCCAAAGAGGCAATAGATGATCTGAAGAGCAGGATAAGAGAGGTGCAGGAGGAGAGATTTCATGCAGTACGGGTGCAGGCGGGTGTGAGGAAGTGCTTTGGGGGGACAATCCATCGGCATGTGTGTTGAGGAGACAACAGCAGGACAGCGACCACAATAGCAGATTTGGAAGTGCACACTGAGGTGAAAGGGTTTAGGGAGGGGCAGGTGTTAAAAACAACGGAGGGGATGAGTATGTTCGTGGATGCGTGGTATGGGCATTATTGGAAAAGTAAAGGAGTTAATAGGGAGGATCTTGATGGGGTGTGTGCTGTAGAGCCCATAGCTCTGGGGAGAAAAGACAGGGAAGCTTTGGGTGGTGAGATTGAAGAGAGGGAGATATGGAGAGCGCTTGTAGACATGCGCACAGGCAAAGCACCAGGTATTGATGGACTACCAAGTGAATTTTACTTAAAACATTGGGATCTGTTAAGGGGTTTTTTAGTAACGCTGTTCAATAGAATGAAAGATGGGGGAGAATTGGGCAAAAAGCAAAGTACAGGGGTCGTAGTGCTTGTGCCCAAGGGTAAGAGGCAGAGTACACTTAAGGATTACATGGCGATTACTCTCATGTGTGCGGACTATAAATTGTTCGTGAAGATTTTGGGGAATAGGTTAAAATGTGTAGTGGGACGTGTAGTTTCAAAAGGTCAACTAGGGATGCCAGGACGGTCGATGGTCATGGGGCACGGAATTCTAAAGGGGTTTGTCGAGAGTTTTGAGGGGACGCAGACAGGAGGGGGTATGGTGGCGATTGATTGGCAGGGTGCTTATGATCAGGTGGAAAGGGAGGGTTTAAGACAGATCCTTAGCAAACAAGGTTTTGGGGACGAGATTGTGGGGTGGGTTGAAACGTTGTATAAAGGGGCAAAAGCGAGAATTCAGATCAATGGACGTGTGGGAGGTGTGGTGAACATGGATAGGGGCTTGAGGCAGGGTTGCCCGCTATCACAGTTATTTGCACGTGTGCAAGATCCATTTTATAGGTTGGTCGAGACCAGAGTGTGTGGTGGGGAGGGGTCGAGGGAGGGCTTGATTAGGCATCATGTGGTAGGTTACGTGGATGACACGACACTCCTAGTCCGGAAGGGAACAAGATTGAGAGAGTTGGGAGGGGTGGTTGGCATGTTTGGAGGGGTGACAGGCATGACGGTAAACGTTGAGAAAACAAAGATCATGGGGCTAGGGGAGTGGAGAGACAGTTGATTGGGACTGATGTGGTGAGAAGGCAGGAAGGGCAGTTATTAATATGTGGCATTTTGTATAGAGCGACCATACGGGAGGCTAGGGAGGCGAATTCGTTGAGAATGGTGGAATGCGTGGAACATCAGTTGGGGATGTTACGGCCTTATCACTTGACATTGTTGCAACGGGCGATTGTTATTAATGTATTGCTGTACAGTAAGGTATGGTATGTAGCAGCAGTTTTTCCATTGCTGAGGGCTGAGATTACACGTATCCTTAGAAGTGTTTTTAGGTTCTTATGGGGCTCAGGATGTGAATGGATGAAGAGGGAGGTGGTGACTTTGCCGGTGAGGAAGGGAGGTTTAGGTTTGTTGGACCTGGGAAGGAGGGTGAAATGCATTTTCGTCAGGTGGGAGTGGAAAAGATTAGGGGGACAGAGGGGGACATGCATGCACAGGTTACATGATATTTTGAGGGGAATGTATGTGGGTGGGGAATGGAGGGAGTGAGAGATTTTGTTGAGGGCACTTTTGTGGGCGTGCGAGCCAGACAAATTAAAGGCGAGGGATTTATATCGAATATTGAGGGTCGAGGAGTTGGCCCCAGTTGAGGGGCTGTTCCCGATGTATGCATGGGGAGCTATATGGAGTCTGTTCGGTAAACTAAAGCTAGGGCCCAGGGTGCGAGGGATCATGTTTAAATTTTTACACGGGATTCTGCCTACTGGATCAGTCCTCAGAAATAGACGTGTGGTAGAGGAGGGTTGGTGTGGATTATGTGGAGAGTTGGAAACAGCCTATCACGTGGTTTACTTTTGCGATTATTTGGGGAGTGTGAGGGAATGGCTGGGGAAAGTGGTCAGGAGGATAGGAGGAACTGGGGTGTCTGTGTTGAGAGCGCTGAGTCTTGATATAGGGGAGGTGGGGGAGAATGTGGCACGGGGAGTAGCTTATATAATGGTGGATTCGTGTACATATCGTGGGGAATGAGAGGGGTGGGATAATGGGGAGACGAGGAAACGAGTTTTTAGCGAGGATTTTTTGTAGGACAAAGAATAGGAATCGGGAAATTTATGGAGGGAGAATGGGAGGGAGATTTCACTGAGGGCTACAGGTCCATAACTGTTGGGGAGTTGCTAGAGTTGTGAGGGGGGGGGGGAAGTGGGTTTAGTTTGTGTAAAGCATTCGATAAAAGGGGGGGGGTACCAAACGGGCTTGCCAAACGAAAGATGTTGGTTTGGTGTGCATGTGCGTGGAGTGAGTGATAAGTGCAAGAGAACGATTGTGTGTAATTGGGATGTGCATGGGAGTGCCGAGTTCATGCGTTCTTAGTAGTTATTTAATAGTTAATTTTTTTTTTATATTTTATTTATAACATACAATACATTAACAAAAGCATACAGCTTGAGAGCATCGACAGACAATATAAATTCATCAATTTCTATACACTGCAATATGCAGTAATATGTCATGCAGCTGATAGGTGAATACTGCCATATACATAATTCATTACTACAAAAAATAACTATTCAAGTAATACAAAATAAAGAATCCTCTTACTCCTTCCCGACTGCTAATTTCAATATACACACAATAATTACATGCCGCAAAAATGCAAGCAGTATAACCCCCCCCCCATTCACCCCAGCTCACCAAAATGTAAGCATTTCACCGTTGTTTATTTAACTTATAAACTAACCATACTAAATTAAACTTGAGAACATATTATATTGAAAACAATAACTATAGTAGTGAAAACGCCAGCTGCTGTCCTAATATTATTTATATATACATATGTATATATATATACACACATTAGAAACTGAATTAGTTTACAATGGGAGTCAAATCCTATCTTTATTGCTGTCCCATGCAGCATTCTCAGACTTTTATATGTAATGATCCCCTTCAAAAAGGCTTTAATTAACAGTTTTTAAATAAACTAGAACGATAAACTCGCCCCCCTGCACATCCCAATTAACCAATCGTTCCCCTTGCCTTATCACTCCCCAAACCCAGCACACCAAACCAACTTTTTCTTTTGCAACCCGTTTGATCCCCCCCTTTTTTTTTTATCGAATGTTTTTTACACAGCTTTTCTAAACCCACTTCCCCCCCCCCTCAAAAACTCTAGCAACTCCTAAACGTTATGGACCTTAACCCCCAGTAAAAGCTCCCTTTTTTCCCCCCTCCCAAAAATTTTCCCCCCGTTTCCCCTATCTTGTCCTACAAAAAATCCCGCAAAACTCGTTTTCTTTTCCCCCCCTTACCCACCCCCCTCTCATTCCCCAGATATGAAAAAAACAAACCCACCTTTAAATAAGCTACTCGTGCCACTTTCTCCCCCACCCCCCCCTATATAAAGCTCACGCCTCAACACAGAACCCCATTCCTCCTACCTCCTGCCCAATCCCCACCCTTTCCCTACCCCACAAATAATGCAAAAGTATCAACGTATGGCTTTTTCCCAACCCCCCACATAACCCAACCAACCCCCTCTACCACAGTCTGTTTTTGGGGACTGATCCTAGGCAGAATCCCGTTAAAAATTTAAACTGATCTCCGCACCGGGCCCTGTTTTAGTTTACCGAACAATCCAATGCCCCCATGCATACATGGGGAACAGCCCCTCAACGGGGGCCGTCTCCTCTCCCCTCATATTCGATATAATCCCTGCCTTTTTATTTTTGGCTCGG